TCCAGCTAAGAATGGGTTTTATGTGCTTTTAATGATTAAGAAAGTATCCAAGAGGAAGATGATTTTATGGCACATGAAAATGACATGGAATTCAATTTTTTTTTTCTTAGATGGAGTCTCTCTGTCACCCAGGCTGAGGTGCAGTGACGTGATCTTGGCTCACTGCACCCTCCGTCTCCTGGGTTCAAGCAATTCTCCTGCCTCAGGCTCCTGAGTAGCTAGAACTACCCACCACCACGCCTGACTAATTTTTGTATTTTTAGTAGAGATGGGGTTTTACCATGTTGGCCATGCTGGTCTCGAACTCCTGACCTCAAGTGATCCACCTGCCTCTGCCTCCCAAAGGGCTGGGATTACAGGCATGAGCCACTGCGCTAGGTGAAATTCAAAAATTTTTTTTCTTTTGAAAATGGCCCCAAATGTTAAAACGAGCGCTTTGAATGAAGATACCCCCTCAAACAGGCTTCGTGGGAGGAACATGGCTGTTGATTCACCTGGGTGCAGGTGGGCTGAGGCTGAAAAGGGCGTCAGCCGAAATTCAAATTTTAGTGTCCGTAAATGAAGTCTCATTGGAACACAGCCATGCTCAGTTCCTTACATACTGTCCTGGTTGTTTCCATGAGTAGTTGTGATAGAGACTGTCTGCTCCACAGAGCCTAAAATCTTTCCTATATGGCATTTTGCAGACCCTTCACTGCGCTGACCTCTCTCCTAGATATTATCTGTTAACGGGTATCATACATTTAACATGTCCAGAACGGAGCCCATGATCCCTCTTCTTCATAACAAACTTGATAAGAGAAAATAAAAGAAATAAAATAACTGCTGTTTCATCTTACGAATGGCTTGCCTGTTCTCAGGAGTTCAGGCCAAAGCCCTAAAGTGCTGATTCGCAACTCGGGGTGATCTTACCTCCCAGCGGACGGTCAGCAGTGTTTAGAGACAATTCACAATTTTGGTTGTCATGACTGGGAAGGGTGCTGCTGGCATCTAGTGGGCAGAGATCAAGGCTGCTGCCCAGCATCCTACAATGGATCGGATGGCACCCACCACATGGAATTATCCACCCCAAAATATCAACCGTGCTGCAATGGAAAATCCCTGCTTTGGAGACACCCCTGGCTCTTCTCTCTCATATCCTACAACTGCACCATCAGCATTCCTGCCCACAGTAGCTCCAGAATATACTAAGAATTCAAACAACTTCCCAAACACTACTGCCCCTACCCTTGATGAGCCTCTTGCTGTCTCATTTGACTACCCCTTGGTCATTTGTCAACACAGCAGCAAGAGCCATACTGCAAAAATGTAAGTCTTCTTTTCTGTAAGAAGGCTGTAAGGTTCTTGTGACTTCTCTGCTCAAGAACCTTCAATGGCTCCCATCTCTGAATATAAAGCACAAGTGCTTTCTGGGATGCATAAGAAGCTGTGAGTCCAGGCACAGGGGCTCACACCTATAATCTCAACACATCGGGAGGCTGAGGCAGGAGGATTGCTTGAGTCCAGGAGTTTGAGACCAGTGTGGGCAATACAGTGAGACCCTGTGTCTACAAAAAATAGTGGCATGTGCTTGTAGTTCCAGCTATTTGGGAGGTTGAACCCAAGAGGATGGCTTGGGTTCAGGAGTTCAAGGCTGCAGTGAGCTACGGTCTTACCACTGCACTTCAGGCTGAGTGACAGAGCAACACCCTAACTAAAACAAACAAACAAACAAAAAACAGAACCTGGCCAAGCGCCTGTAATCCCAGCAGTTTGGGAGGCCTAGGCGGGCCAATCACTTGAGGTCAGAAATTCGAGACCATCCTGGCCAACATGGTGAAACCCCGTCTCTAATTTAAAAAATTAACAAAAATTAACTGGGCATGGTGGAGCACACCTGTGATTCCAACTACTCGGGAGGCTGAGGTATGAGAATTGCTTCAACCCGGGAGGCCAAGGTTGCAGTGAGCCGAGATCATGCCATTGAACTCCAGCTTGGGTGACAAAGCAAGACTCTGTCTGTAAATAAATAAATAAATAAAGTAATTTTTAAAAGGCCGGGCATGGTGGCTCACACCTGTAATCCCAGCACTTCGGGAGGCTGAGGCGGGCAGATCGCCTGAGCTTAGGAGTTCCAGACCACCCTGGGCAACATAGTGGAAGGTAAAACCTCGTCTCTACTAAAATTGAAAAAATTATCTGGGTGTGGTGGCACGTACCTGTAGTCCCAGCTACTTGGGAGGCTGAGGCATGAGAATCGCTTGAGCCCCAAGGCGGAGGTTGCAGTGAGCCAAGATCGCGCCACTGCACTACAGCTTGGTCTACAGAGTGAGACTCTGTCTCAAATAATGGTAATAATACAGAACCAGTGGGATGGGGATCCTGTTAGCCCTACAACTGTTGGACCTCCTGCTGCTACGTTCCTCCCACCCACTCTGCCCCGGTCACGCCGACCTCCCACTGGCTTGGTCAACACACAGGCACTCCCTCTCCCACCTCAGGAACTGTGCACCTGCTATTCCTACAGTCTGAAGCACTTTCCTCCAGATAGCCACAGCCGCCATCTCTCACTTCCTTCAGACCTGCATTCAAGTGTCACCTGCTCAGGGGGCTTTCCCTAGATTCCTTATCTACTTCCCACAGGGAACCCTGACACCTCCCATCCCCCAACTCCTTCTCCTCCTTAGCACTCAGTTTTACCCAACATCCTAAATGTGGACTTGATTACCTCCATTATTATCTGTCTCTCCCTCTAGAATATAAGATATATAACGAGAGGGGTTTTTGTCTGTTTTCCACTGCTGTAGCCACAGAATCCAGAACAATGCTTGGCACATAGTATAAACGCAATACAAATGGGATGTTGAATGAATAAATGAATGAATGAATGGCATCCTGACTAGATGCCACGCGTTATCCTAGGGGTTTCATGATGTGAGCCCTCACACTTGGCTCTGTGCCTGGTGCTTGGTCAGGCCAGTGAGTGGACATGAACTCAAACTTCCACAGGAGAGGAAAATAGCATCATGAGAACCATGGGAGGAATGGGAGGCGATGGAGTGAATGGAGGTGACTGTGGGGGAAATGGAGGCCTCCAGCTGCTGCTCGGATCCGGCCCATCGTGGTCAGGGTAGAACGTAGGCTTGCGTTAGATCTTCTGATCGCTCAGAAGAAGCCGGAAATTGGAACTACAATGGGAAGCCTCCCTATTTTTAACTGTTGGCAATGGATTCAGATTTTGCTTTCAGTTTTAAACACTGTACACTAGGCAGAGCACATCTGCGGATCCCATCCATGGGATTGGAGTTCTGCTCTTGGCTCTGCCCTTTTCTCAGCTGGGTGACCTTGGGCAAGTGGCTTCACCTCTCTGAGCCTCAGTTTACCCATCCCCAATAGGGAGGTGGTCCCCACCTCATAGGATTAAATAACATTCCTGGCTTGTCATGAGCAATCACCAAAACAGAGGAAGAAGGGACAGAAGAAATAGACGGGGGTGAAAAAGAGAAGCAAGAGATTGCAATCTTTTGGTCGAAGGGGGCATCAGGATGGCTGGTTCCACTCCTTCATGTTGCAGACAAGGGCTGTGAGGCTGGGTTGCAGGGCAAAGACAGTGGTCACACATGGGGAGGCAGACACGCAGCAGGACTGGCACCAGGACTCCTGCTTCCCAGCCCCTCAACTCCATGACACTCAGGAAAGAAATACTGATGCTAAGAGTGGGAGAGAGAAGGGGTTGGTGCAGGAGAAGGCAAGAGCCTTGGAGAAGAGGGCGAGTCAAGAGCCAGGGAGCCGAGCTAGGAGAGAAGCTGTGAGAGGAGAACTGGACAAAGAGGAAAAGAACCCAGGCAGAGATTCAAGGAGGTAGCAGGGTCAGGAGCCAGGAGCCTTAAAGTAACTAAGAGGCATGGAGTCAGGAGGACGTCAGAGAAGGCACGAGCAGAGGAAAAGGAAGTGGAGCCCACTAAGGAAGAGGAGGAAGGGATCAGGGTAGGAGGTTGGAGGGCATCCTGGTGGGAGAGACAGGGGAAGGGCCCTGATGGGGAGAGGAAGATCTACAGGAGGAGAATCACAGGCAGAAAAGAGAGCAGGTCATAAGTGATAGCGAAATAAGGCAGGAAGTTTTAGGAGAGCAGCAGCCAAATAGAAGGGGAAAGAGATGGAGACCTGGAGACCGGGCCATGGATGGGGTGGGAGAGGCAGGGGAATTCAGAGGACTGGGGCGCAATGTCGGGAGAGAGAAGACGCCATGGGGCACCTGGCAGAGGAAATGAAGAGGCAGGTGGGATGGAGGAGCAGGTCAAGATGGACTGAGGGGAGAGGGAAAAAGAGGCTGCTGGGTGTATCCCAGCACTTTGGAGGCTGAGGCAGGAGGCTCTCCTGAACCAAGGAGCTGGAGACCAGCCTGGGCAACACAGGGAGACCTCATCTCTACAAATAATGAAAAAAATTAGCCGGGCACAGTGGCTCTTGCCTGTGGTCCCAGCTACTCAGGAGGCAGAGGTGGGAGGATGGCTTGAACCCAAGGGGTGGAGGCTGCGGCGAGCTGTGACTGTGCCACTGTACTCCAGCCTGGGCGACAGAATGAGACCTTGTCTTGAAAAAAAAAAGGGGGGGGGGGGGGGGAGGAGAAAAGGTACAGGGAGGGCAGCTGGAGGAAATGAAACAGGAGGAGCCCCAGGTGCTGGAGAGAAGGAAGAAGGGAGGGGTGTGACAGGCACGGCAGGAGACAAGGACCAGGGAAAGACCGAATAAGGGGTTAGCGGAGAGGCAGGGCGACCAGGGGTTGAGCCTGGAGGCAGGGTGACCAGGCAGAGGAATTCCGCAGGGCGCCCAGACGCAGGGAGGAGTGGGGCGGAAAGGAGAGAAGGTCGGGGCGCTAACGGGAAGGCGCAGAAGCCCCTCAGACAGAGGAGGAAGGGTGCCCATGGGGGCCCCAGGATCAGGGAGAGGCAGCCCCGGGAGACCCAGGGTCTCTGGGAGGGGAGCGGCGGGGGCTGCGGGCAGGGCCGCCCGCACCCTACCTTCCAAGCAGCAGATCCTCCAGAGCCCCGAGTGCGTGAGGCCGCCGGGGTCCTTCTTCTCGGAGGCGCCCCCGCCCCCGCGGTGGGGGGTCCCGTCGTCTCCTGCCGTGAGGTTGGTGGTGTTGCAGATGAGCGCGCGCGTGTAGAGCCAGTAGTCGGTGCTGATGGCGATGGTCATGAGGCCGAAGGCGGCGAAGGCGCCCACCGTCGTCAGCAGCACCTGCACCCCCTTCTCGCACCAGAGGCCCCGCTCCTCGTTCCAGCGCTTCAGCGACTCCAGTTTGACCACGGGCAGCCGGGGGGCCGTGGGCCACCACCGGGGCAGCGGGGGCGGGGCCGTGCCGGCGGCTGGGGGGGTCACAGCGCAGGCAGAAGCGGGGTGCCGGGGGCCGGCGGGGCGGGGGAGGGGGCGGCGAGGACGCTGCGGCTGGGGAGGGGGTCAGAGCACGGCCATGGTCGGCGGCTGGTGGAGGGCAAGGAGCGAGATCTCGGATTAGAGGAGAAGAAGGCACAGGTACCTCCCCCAGTCCCCGCCCCCCCTAAAATCCCTGCCTCAGCTCCAGAAACTCCTTCCACTCGGGTCTCCACTGCTTTCCTTTCTCAAAAAAAAAAAAAAAAAAAAAAAAAAAGAAAAGAAAAATCTCTCCACTTTTGTCTTCTGCTCAACAAAGTCATCCATCCCACTAACCCCACTCGGAGAAATCCCCACCACCGCTCACACCCACAGCCCTCGCCCCAAGCCCCCGCTGGCTCCTCCTGGGTGAGCTCCACAGTCCTGATCGCTTTGGGAAGCCACCCTACGACACCAAGCCCCAGGCCTCTTCCTCCCCAGGAGCCCCTGTCGCGTTCTTCCTTCCTTAGAGACCCCCACCCCATCACCATTCGGCCCCCACCAGTTCTCCCCACTCTTCCCCTGCAAGCCACACATCTCCATCTGCTAGAACCCCTTCCTGGCTCCCCAACTTCTTCCCCCTGAGCGTCTCCACAACTTAAGAATCCCCAGCAGCACCACCTCCATGAGAATAACCTCCGCGGGCCCCCTCCGCTCTGGGTTCTGCCATTCAGTCACTCCTAATGGTCCCCTACAATTTCCACTCCTTAGGAAAAAGAAAGTCTTCAACTAAAAAGGAAAACTTAAAAGGAGAAAAAAAAATCCCAGTTGCCCCTCACAGTTTGTGCAACTCAGAGTAAGCAGACACCCTCAGTCAGTCTCCTCTGCCTAGAAGCCCGTTCCCGCCTCGGCAGCCTCCGACACACCTCGAAATCACCCGAGGACCTTTACAGATTCGGATGTTCGCGCCCCACCTGAGAAAGTCCGACATCACTGGGCTGCAGTGTGGCCTGAGCGTCTAAGTTTTTAAAAGCTCCCTGGGGAATTCTCACGCACCCAACGCCGGACCCACTGGTTTACAAAATGCCCTCCATCTCCAACCCATTCCCTCTCACAGCCCCCAGTGTCTCCCCACAATCCATTCACCCCCCCATCCCATACTATGTCTTTACTCCAGGAAAAACTCCACTCTCTCTCTTGCTTAGAAGAGTCTTCCGAATCTTCCCCCCCACTACAACTTAAACGAACTCATATCATAACCATCGTTTTCTCCTCCATTAAGAAAAATTTCCTCCATGAGTCCCACGGCACTTTCTACTCGAAGGAGTGGCTTCCTCCAGACCCCAGATTTCTCTCCATCCAGGAGCGTTCCAATCTCTGCCCTGGACTCCCATAGCAGGGAGCACGCTGTACCTCCACTCTGCCCGGCTTGCACCCACGGGCCCCTTTGCACTCACAGCATCTCCCACTGCCTCTAAATCCCTCTTCGTCACCCTTCATCATTACATGGCATCTTCAGCACGCAGGTTCCCCCAACTCCAGACCCCTCCAACTCACTTCAAAACCCACTCTCTCCTCAACGTACAAGGAGGCATCCTCCCCAACTTCTCTCCCATCATGTAGAATTCCCTTGACTCACTTCCTCCTGCTCCACGGCTACAGCTCCCAGACTCTCCTCTGCCCAGGAAAACCTCCTCTGCAGGCCCCCACTGGCGTCCCTCCTTGGGAACTCCCCCCAGTACTCCCCTCTGCGATGTCACCTGTACAGGAACACACACTGTAGCCCCTCACCTTCCTCCACATGCAGAAAGAGCCCCCCAAGAGACTGTGTCCCTCCGAAAAACGTGATCCACAAGACTACAACTCTCTTTTAAATGAGGAATACTTTCCCACTCTGCACCCACTGCCCCGTGGTTCTTTCATTTCTCTCCTCCACATTCTCCCCGACCACCATGCCCCAGCCCTGTCCGTCCCCCTCACTCCAGCTGGCCTCGGGGCGTGTATTCCTTACTTGCTTCCACCACTGCTTCCTCAACTTCTTCCCCCAAACCCACTATAGTTAAGAGCCTGGAAACCTCAGAGGAAGGGGGAATTAAAAAAAAAAAAAAAGCAGCAGCAGCAGCAGCAGCTAGGTCCCAGTACGGGGTGACCTTGGCCTCCTGGTGGCTTCCCCGTCTCCACTGCCCCTCATCAGCTGGCCTCAGACTGGGGCTGCTCCCAGGAGGGGCTGTGGAAAGAGGTTGTCTAGGGGGGGTGTCTCCATGGCAACTGGGCCTAGTGCCCCACACGTTGTGTTCCCTCCCCCACCTCAACTCAGTCTGCCCACACGCAGCCCTTCCTCAGGCCACAGTTCAGCAGCCCGCTGGACCCGGCATCCCCCAGCCTCCCAGCCTCGGCACGGGCCCCTTCCTCTCCTTTCTGTCCACATGCTGAGTTTCCTCTCTTCTTGACCTCTTGGCCTGTTCTCCCGAATTGGTGCCCCTCACCGCCGGCACAGCCACCTGCCCTGTCCTAATAGATCTCTGCTTTCAGTGGGGCTGAGCCTGTAACCCAGGCCCCTAACAACCTGGGATAAGAGGGGAAGGGAAGAGGAGGGAAAGGAGGGAAATTCTCCCTCCGTCCAAAAAAAAAGATTTGAAGATCTTTCCATTTTGTCAATTTGGGGGGCAATCTGGTTTTAGGGACTCTTCCTTTAGTCCATTGCTTAGCAGCTGCAAGGGAGAAGAGAGCAGGGGACCCCCAATTCTAAAGCTTCTGGATCTGAGGGGGTCACTGTCCTTTCTCCTTCTGAAGGGGACCAGCTCTTTTCTCCAGAATTGGGGGGGGCACAGAACATTTATTCTACTTCCACCCACCTCCGATTAATAAAAAGATCTGTCTCACCTCTGTTAACGATAGGTCAACTCTCCGATGCTCGGGGGAGGGGACTTCAAGCCCCCCCCTGTTGGCACCCCCCCCAGAAAAGCCCTTTTGGCTCCCAATTCTCGCTGCTTCCCCCTCCCCCAGCAGTGAGGGACCCAGGCGTCCGACCTGGTTGGGGGGGTGGAGATGAGGAGGCGTATGGGGAATGGGGGTGCTGAGGCCAGGCGGGGGCTGAGGGGCAGCTCTGAGCCTGGGCCCCAAGGGAGTGAGGGTCGGGATATATATATATATATTTAAAAAAAAGGTGAGGAGACAATTTGGTTCTCGTGTCGCTGGGTAAAGTGCGGAGCTGGAGGACGAGAGGGAGGGAGTAGGGAGGGAGGGGGAGGGGAGCTGCTGAGGGATGGGGGAGCCTGGGAGAGGAGATGGATGGGGGAAGGGAAAGAGGGGGGCAGGGTCGAGTGGCAAAAGGAAGCCAGAGAAGAAGAGAGAGAGATCCAGAGAGGGAGGGAGAGAGACACAGAGAGACGAGGAGAAACGGAAAGAGAGAGACCCAGAGACCGCGAAACAGAAATGGGGGAGGGAGAAATTTGGGGGAGGTAGCGGCTGGGAGCAGAAGGAAGTTGGAGAGACACACACAGAGAAATATCCAGAGAGAGAAGGCAGGGACTGAGACCCAAAGAGAGAAACCCAGGGTCTGGGGGGAGGGGGATGAGGGAGGGCTGGGGTAAGGAGGGGGGTCAGGATCTGGGAAACAGAAGGAAAGAAGGGAGAGGGAGAGAGTCATCCAGAGAGGGGGGAGGAGGGACAGATGGGGAGAGACAGACAGAGAGAGAGAGACTGCGAGGATGGTGGGGGGAGAGGGAAGGAAATGGAGAGCCGGGAGGGAGAGAAAGTGGGGATGGGGGCAAGGTCTTGGTAGGGAGAGGGGAGCTTTAAAGAGAGCAAGAGGTGCAGAGAGGGAGCGGGGGAGCAAGATAGTAAATGAAAGGAATAGAGGGTGGAAGGGTCTGAATGGCAGAAGGTACCTGGGGAAAGAAAGGCAGGTGCAGGAAAAGAAGAGGGAGACCCAGAGAGAGACAGACGGAGAGGGACTGACACAGGAAGAGAGAGAGATCCGGAGAAACAGAGGCAGACACAGAGACTGGGGAGGCACCCAAAGGAAGCCCGGAAAAAATAGCCGGAGAGGGGTCAGGCTGAGGTGCCCCGAGGAGGTCAGAGATGGAGGACCCCCGCCCCCGCCCCCGCCCGCGTCCCCAGCCCCATCCCTTCCCCCTCCCCCATTCCAATGCCACCACCCCCACCCCCACTAGCCTCCATCTCTCTTCAGCATCGCTTGCCGCCGCCACCGCCTCTTCCTGTCGTCATAGCAACAGGATCCAGGCGCCCAGCCAAGGCTGGCAGCGGCGGCCGGAAATGAGGGGAGGGCCTTTTCAAAAGGACCCCAGGAATGCTCCCCTTTCCCAAAATCCAAGGGAAAGCGCAACTCCCTGGGGTCTTCCCACCGCTCCTCCTCCAAATGGCGAGGGCAAAGATTCCTCACCGCCCCCCACACCCCAAATAAAACAATATTAAACTTACAACGTTAGCAAGCCTTTGACTTTCACCAACATTTTTTTCTTTTCTCATCCCCCTTCCCTCCCCTAGTTCAAACCTGTTGGGGAAGAAGGGGTAGAGTTAGATGCCCCCCCCCAAGATGGGGCTGGGGCCAGGAACGAGAGTAGAATGTGAAAAGCTTGGGTGCAAATATGTCTTAAAGAAACCCATCTGGAATTGGGTAGGGTCTACCAACAGTTTTGAGAAGCACGGACCTGTCCTTCTGGAACTAGCTAGTAGGTTGTGGGGGTGGAAGAGGTGGGGGTGGAAGAGTCTGAAATGAGGATCTGGAAGTTTGGTCTTGGGTCCGCATTTCACAGATGCCCCCTAGGCATCGCGTGACCTTGGACACAACACTTTTCTTCTAAACTCAGTTGCTCTTGGTTATGAAGGGGACAGAAGCCACCTCCAACTGAGTGAGAACATGGATGGGAAGGGGCCTTGCACGTGGCTCCAGGCAAGCAGTTTTCCCAAGACTGGATTCTCATCTGAATGTTATCAAAAGCTAAGAGCTAGCCATGGCTGATGGGAGGCAGTTTGCATGCTTCACTTTGACTCTCTCACGGACTTCCTACAGAATCTTTGCAGTGTGGGCATCCACGTTCCCATGTTACTGATGAGTAACCTGAGGCTGAGACATTAGGGTTATCCAGGTGGAGGGCGGTCAACAATAGGTGAAATTCATAGTCATTTAAGCCAACACACCTTTGCTGCTCCCTCCAGGGGGCTGGCACAAACTACAATCACCTGTGTTCCCTACATCTATTCACCTGGTGTTTGCTTCTGCTGGTCTCTTCTCTTGGAGGGGTGGTATCTTTCAGTACCCGGCATCTCACATTTGTACTGAAATTTCTTTAGGTCATTTCACTTAATTCTCACCCTGCCCCAGGGGGGAAAGTTTAGAGATGCATTCCAACACTCCTGGTTTAGAAGCAAAGAAACACAGCCCCCAAGGGAAGGGGCCTGGAATTCATTCGTTTCAGGAATAGTTGTTTATTTTCTGCTCTTTTGCTGGGTTGGTGGGGTGAGGGGGGAGGAGAATACATCAGCAAACAGCGATGATAATCGATATTGGTTATGGACATTTAATATTACAGACTCCAAGGAGCCTGAGGGTATTGGCTCCACCTTCAAAAGAAGTGGGTTCTGTTAGCAGCTCCCACTTTAAAGATGTGAAGACTGAGACTGAGAGGTAAGCTACATGGGAGGAAATCGGTCAGGACGTCAGATTCCAGAGCCTGTGCTGGTATAACCGCACTGATGAAACTATGAAGATGATTTTGAAAGTCAGAGTTTCCCAGCCTCAACACTGTCGACATTTGGGCTGGATAATTTTTTGTTGTGGAGGCTGTCCTGTGCATTGTAGAATGCTGAGCAGTACTCCTCGCCTCTATCCACTAGATGCCAACAGCACCTCCAAATAGCACCCTAAAAATAGCATTTTGGGACAACCAAAAATGTCTTCAAACATAGCTCAATGTCCCTTGGGGAACAAAATCACCCCTGGTTGAGAACTGTGAAATTATACAAATTAGCAACTGAGGGGAACTTCTTTATTTTAAATGAAAATATATTTTCCAGTCAAATCAATATAGGCTCATGGTTAAAAAAGAAAGAAAGAGAGAAGAGTCTAAGGGTACGCAGGGATCATAATAAAAATAATTTAGCCTGTCCCACCTCACATCCTGTTCCTTATTGGAAAAGCCTATTAACATTCTTAGCCATTTCTTCTCTTACTTGCCTTGACATCCCTAAATAATAATTTTATTTTGGATGTATCAACATTATACATTATTTATTTTTCTCACAGATAACAAATTAACTAGCCCTCACTTTTCCTTCCCTTCTTCCTCATGTGTTAGTTCTTCTAGTGGTAATTTTGTGACACTAAGTGACGCATGATTACCTCATGATTTATTTCAACAACTAAAGAGAGTATATCTCTTTTCCTCAGCTTTATTGAGATCGAACTCGAATATCATGCAATTCACCCACTTAAAGTGTACAATTCAACGGTTTTTAACTGTATAGAGCTATGCAATCATCAACTTTAGATCAATTTTAGAACATTTTCGTTAGTCCAAGAAGATACCACGTACTCCTTAGCCATCATCCCCAATCTAAGCACCCACCCCAGCGCTAGGCAATCACTAATGTACTTCCTGTCTGTATAGATTTTCCTATTCTAGACATTTCATAGAAATTGAATCATACAACGTATTGTTCTTTGTGTCCGGCTGCTTTCAGGCTAATTGTGGTATGATGCCTTCTAGGTTCATCCATTTCATGGCAGAATATTCCATAGTATAGAGGGAGATACCACATTTTATTTCTCCATTCATGTATCAATGAACATTTGGGGTTTTTCTACATTTTGGCTACTAGGGATAATGAATGCTACCATGAACATTTGTCTGCAAGTTTATGTGTGAATATATGTTTTCATATCTCTTGGGCACACATCTAGCAGTGAATGTGTGGGTCATATATGTACCCCTTTAAGGAATGAGACAGGGGCCGGGCGCGGTGGCTCACGCCTGTAATCCAAGCACTTTGGAGACCAAGGCGGGCGGATCACCTGAGGTCGGGAGTTCAAGACCAGCCTGACCAACACGGTGAAACCACGTATTTTAACAAAACAAAACAAACAAAAAAAAAAAAAAACAAAAAACAAAAAAAGGAATGAGACAGCATCTCTTGACTTCATTTTGAAAGACGGATCACCCCTTCAGCTGCGGAAGCCCCCTTCAGAAGGGGAGTCACAGAAGAAGCAGGTGGTGGACTTTTTAAAGATCACATTTCTATATTTGCTCATATATTCATTTCACATAAGCCAAGACCTAGAGCCTGCAGGGTTAGAGATAGGTTTGCTAGTCCCTTCCCTTGAGGAAGTCCTCGATCCTCACTTCCAATTATGGTAGGCAGAATTCTAGAATGATCTCCAAGATTCCCACCCCCTGGTGTGCACACCTGAGAGAATCTCCTTCCCTTGAGTGTGGACAAGACCTATCACTAGGAGGTGACGCCGTTCCCATGATTACATGACATCATATGGCAAGGTATAGGGATTTTGTAGATATATTAAAGTCCCGAATCAGTTGACTTAATTAAAAAAGAAATTACCCCAGGTGGGTGTGACCTAATCAGGTGATCTCTTAGAAAAGGATCAGGCGGTCAGAAAGAACCAAAGCAAAGGAGATTCTCCTGGGAACCTTGAGGAAGCAAATTGCCTCGTTGTGGCAAAGATCTGAGAGCGAGTATTTTCTTCTAACTAGAAAACAGAGACCTCAGTCAAACAACCATAAGGAAATGAATTCGGCTCAACCTGTGGGAGCTTGGAAGTAGCTCTCTCCCTAGTCAAACCCCCAGCAAAGGACACAGTCAGCTGACATCTTAACTTCAGCCTTGTAAGACCCAGAGCTCGCCAGGTGTGGTGGCTCACACCTGTAATCCCAGCACTTCAGGAGGCCGAGGCAGGTGGATCACTTGAGGTCAGGACTGAGACCAGCCTGGCCAACATGGCGTAACCCCTGTCTCTACTAAAAATACAAAAATTAGCTGAGCATGGTGGTGTGCACCCATAATCCCAGCTCCCTGGGAGGCTAAGGCAGGAGAATCACTTGAACCTGGGAGGGAGAGGTTGCAGTGAGCAGAGATTGTGCCACTGTATTCCAGCCTGGGCAACAGAGCAAGACTCTGTCCCCCAAAACACACAAAATAATAAAATTCTCCCACGTCCCCCTATTGCCCTTGGGAGCAAATCGAAGCTCCTTACCTCCTAGGTCCTTTTGCCGAGAACACCAGCCTTATCGTAAGCCGCCCCCATTGCTGCCTCCTGCGGACTGAAGGTGTCTTCCCTACCATTCCCAGCTCCTTCCGGTGTCTTCCCTAGCATTCCCAGCTCCTTCCTGTTCTGAGGGTTTCCTGGGTGGTTTCCTTGCAGGAAACCCCCTTCCATCTCTCAGCCATCTGGCAAACCCTCTATCCATTTTTTTTCTTTCTGAGATAGGGTCTTGCTGTGTCACCCAGACTGGAGTGCAGTGACACAATCTTGGCTCACTGCAGCCTTGACTTCCCAGGCTTAAGCCACCCTCCCACCTCAGCCTCTTCAGTAACTGAGACCACAGGTGTGTACCACCACACTGGCTATTTTTTTTTTTTTTTGTATTTTTGGTAGAGACGGGGTCTCATCATGTTGCCCAGGCTCATCTCAAACTCCTGAGCTCAAACAATCTGCCCACCTCAGCCTCCCCAAAGTGCTACGATTAGAGACTTAAGCCACTGCACCTGGCTCTATCCCCAGCTCCTTGAGATTCAACTTACACACTCCTTCCTCCAAGAAGCCTTCCCTGACCTCCTACGCCCACATCAGGGTCTACAACAGTGCTTCCAACCTGCCTTGCACTGGCTCCCTTAAGCCACAGCAACTCTACACTGTGATTGACACGTGGGTCGGTCTTCTCTGCACTGGTGCAGGAGCTGTTCAGGGACAGGCATGGGTCTGATTTACTTATGTCCCCCAGATCCCAGCTCAGCCCTGGCGGACAGGAGTCCTCGGTCCAGGGAAGCTGAACGAATGAATGAATGAACGAACAAACGAATGAATGAGTCAGGGAATGAGACATATTCTAGGGTCTCTATCCCCTACACAGCCAGTCCCAACCTCCTGTCCCTAACCAACCCGTCTCCCTGCCTCATATCCTGAGTGTGTGGTTTTTCCCAGGTGCTCGAGTGTTTCTCATCAACAACAGCTGGGGCCTTTGTGTTTTCTCAAGAGGAACAGAGTGGTGGTGGCATGTCTTCCTGCTGTACCAGGAAGAGTCGATCAGCGTTTCTAAAACGTCCTCATTCAGGGTGAAGTGGAAATATTCCAATGCTGGGGAGCCAGGTGGCCCGAGTTCCAATCCGCGCTCTCCTTTGCCTCCCCGAGGAAGCTGGAGCCAAACCTCAGTTCTTTCTGCACCTTCCTTCTCTCATTCTCTCATCTGTAGAAGAGGAGGGTGCACTTAGTGATCTCTCTGTTGCTGAAGACCGTGATTCAAAATCACACATCCAAGGAATTCTGGCAGAGCTACTGGGATGTCAGTAAGCCCCTGAAATTATGTACCAAATTTTGTATGAGTATTTTTTTCTGGGGGTCCGTAGCTTTTACCTGATTCTCAAAGAGGTCCCTAATCTCTTGCAGATTATCACAGCTGGCAGAGCACGGTGGTTTAGGCCTGTAATCCCAGCACTTCAGGAAGCTCAGCCTGGGCAGCATAGTGAGATCCCCGACTCTACAAAAAATATATATATATATTTTTTGTGACGGAGTTTCGCTCTTGTTGCCCAGTCTGAAATGCAGTAACGTGATCTTGGCTCACCACCACCTCTGTCTCCCAGGTTCAAGTGATTCTCCTGCCTCAGGGTCCTGAGTAGCTGGGATTACAAGCGTCGCCCACTACGCCTGGTTAATTTTTTGTATTTTTAGTAAAGATGGGGTTTCACTATGTTGGCCAAGCTGATCTCGAACTCCTGACCTCAGGTGATCCACCCGCCTCAGCCTCCCAAAGTGCTAGGATTACAGGAATGAACCACCACACCCGACCAGAAAATAATTTTTAAAAAATGAACCAGGAGTGTAGTCCCAGCTCCTCAGGAAGCTGAGGTGAAAGGATGGCTTGAGCTCAGGAGGTTGAGGCTGCCGTGAGCCAAGGTTGTGCCACTGTGCTCCATCCAGCCCAAGTGACAGAGAGACAGACCCTGTCTCAAAATTAAAAAATTGTAAAAAGAATCACAGCTTATGAATCAATTTAGGAAGATCCCATATGTGTCCATAAAAATAAAGGTTAAAAAAAAGGAAATATCTTAATGAAGATATTTCTGTTTATTGATTTCTAGATAAAAGTCTGGCAGAGGCTTTCTCAATGATCGTGGCACTAGTCACATCGGAGACAAGCTGCTGTTTTGCCAGGGGTGGCCGTCCCGTGCATTGCAGGGTGTGTTCCAGCGTCTTGCTAGGTTCCCATAGCACCTCAGTCCCCGCCAGCCCTGAGTTGTGACATCCAAAAATATCTCTGGACATTGCCAAATGTAACCTGGGGGCAAAATGACTTCCAGGTGAGAACCACTGGCCTAGAAGAAGTAAGAAAGTGGTAACAGTCATTCCCTTTGGGAAATGAAGCTGAAATTGAGAAGAGCGAGGAGAAAGCTATTTTTATTTATTATTTATTTATTTATTTATTTCAGATGGAGTTTCACTGTTGTTGCCCAGGCGTGATCTCAGCTCACTGTAACCTCCGCCTCCCAGGGTTCAAGCAGTTCTCCTGCCTCAGCCTCCCAAGTAGCTGGGATTACAGGCATGCACCACCCCACGGGGCTAAGTTTGTGTTTTTAGGAGAGATTAACTATGTCATGGGTTCTCACCATGTTGGCCAGGCTGGTCTCAAACTCCGCCTTGGCCTCTCAAAGTGTGGGGATTACAGACATGGGTCACCATGCCCAGCCAAAAGCTGCTTTCTCTGTACCCTTCTCTGATGCTGAAACTTTTAAATCATGACTATTAACTTTAGGAGCCATGCATGGTGACTCACTCCTGTAACCCCAGCGCTTTGGGAGGCCGAGGCGGGCAGATCACCTGAGGTCAGGAGTTTGAGACCAAGCTAGCCAGCATGGTGAAACCCCATCTCTACTAAAAATACAAAAATCAGCTGGGCGTGGTGGTACATGCCTGTAATCCCAGCTACTCAGGAGGCTGAGGCAGGAGAATCACTTGAACCTGGGAGGCAGACGTTGCAGTGGGCAGAGAACTCACCATTGCACTCCAGCCTGGGTGACAAGAGTTAAACTCCATCTCAAATAAATAAATAAATAAATATATGTGTCCTTGGTAAAAAAATTTTAAATAAAAAAAAAGAAAATAGAAAAAAAGTAAAAATTAAGAAGAATAAATACATAAATTCATAATTAAAATGAGTTTATTGTTAAAATAAATTACCTCTCTGCAGTGGACCACTGTACAGTCATTAGAGGAATGAGGCAGACCTTACTGCCTCTGTGACATACAGAATTAGCATTTAAACCTTTGAATGCAGGATCCCTCCATACACTTAAAAATTGTAGAGAGCTGGTGCCTCACACTTGTAATCCTAACACTTTGGGAGGCGAATGTGAGAGGATCATTTGAGGCCATGAGTTTGAGACTCCATCTTCACAAAAAAATTTAAAAATACTAGCTAGGCATGGTGGTGCACACCTGTAGTCTAAGCTACTCAGGAGGCTGGGATGGGAGGATTCCTTGAACCTGGAAGTTCAAGGTTGCAGTGAGCTATGATAGCTTGGGCAACAGAGCAAAACCTTGTCTAAAAATAAAACAAAGAAAATTGTAGGGGACCTCAAAGAGCTTTTTAAATTTGTACTATGTCTATTGATTTTTTGCATATTTGCAATTCAAACTGAGAAAAAAATCTAAAATATGTATTTAAGTAAAATAACTCACTGAATATTTACAGAAGCAACTTATTTTAATAAAAATAACTAGAGTTTCCAAAATAAAATATTGTTGGCTTATATTTTTAAAAATCAATTCAACATTTGACTCAATAGAAGAAAGTCAAAGTCTCATATCTGCTTCTGCATTCAATCAATCGTGTTCTTCTTGTGAAGCCTCCAAACTCTATACCCTCATGAGAGAATAGAATAAAAAAGGAAAATATCTTAGTATTATGATAAAAATACCTTTGACCTTGTGGACTTCCTAAATGGGTCTCAGGGATGTCCCTAGGTCACACTTTAAGAAGCACGTGGCCCAAGGAGGGCAGGATAGGGCAGGTTGGAAGGATTCACACAGACCCTGATGGAGGCTTGGGAGCTCAGGGAAGGCTTCCTGGAGGAAGGAGCATGTAAGTTAAATCTCAAGAGTGAATAGAACCCAGCGTGGTGGTTCATGCCTGCAATCCCAGGACTTTGAGAAGCTCAGGTCAGCGGATTGCTTGAGCTCAGGAGTTTGAGCTCAGGGAGACATAGATCATTGATAAATAGATGGAACCAGGTGGCTTCTATATACACAGTGGCCCATGCCTGTAATCCCAGCACTTTGGGAGGCCAAGGAGGTCAGAAGTTCAAGACCAGTCTGGCCAACATGGCAAAACCCCACCTCTACTAAAAATACAAAAATTAGCCGGGCATGGTGGCACATGCCTGTAATACCAGCTACTGAGGAGGTGGAGGTTGCAGTAAGCTGAGATAGTACCACTGCAACAGAGAGAGATCCCTTTCAAACACACACACACACACACACACACACACACACACACACACACACACACCGCTTAGAGGATGAGTGCTGTAGACACAGGAGACTCCTAGGATTCAAATTTTAGCTTGACCACTTAATAGCTGCATGACCAGGAGAAAGCTAATTAACCTCTCTGTGTCTAGGGAGCTCATTTATAAAGTGAGAATGATACTAAGAGTACCAAACCTCCTGGGGTTATAGAATGTAAAGTGCTTAGGACTGAAACACAAAGAGGCTGGCATGTAAGCACTCAATAAATTATGCAATTAATTTATGCAAACAATTGTTATTAAGCAGCCTTGGAAAACAGTAAGGTAGAGTTATATAACATACCTAACGAGCTCCATCATGCATTCTCATGTGAACCTGGAAGGAACAGAACTATGTACATTACATGATAAATGTATAAAATAAAATAAAAAATGTGTATACCACATACTCGTCTGTATGTGGATTTAAACACATGCAAATATACTTGAATATGCATAGAGTATTCCTGAAATTATACATTAAAAACTAATAATGCCATGCCTCAGGGAGAGGAGGATTTCAGAATGTTAGGACATCCTGACTTACTTTGGGTAAAGGTGGAACTTTTCACGGCATTTCTTTAAAACAAAATAAAAAACACCAATCTTGAACTGTGGGGTTGCATTCCATGTTCAAAGTTCAGTAAACAAAAGAACTAGCTTGATTTTTTAAAAAGAACACAAACCTTAGGATTTTGGGTTAACTTCCCTGTAGTGTTAGCAAATATCTAGCATGTGCGTCACCACAGCCCATCCTGCAGGCAAGGCAGACAGCACCAATTGAGCAGCACAGCAGACAGCACCAATCAATGGCGACATTCTTTCCCACTGAGCAGATGTTCAGAATCCTTCTAATACTGGGCTCCAAGCAGCCACTACGAATCACTTAGTTTTGACAACGAATCTGAGACATTATTTGCAGTCCCGGATCTTAAGTATGACCTCCAGAAATGTGTGAAATCATTGAAAATGACTCAGAATATTTCCCTCCGGAGTCCAGTTCTGCTGATTCAGAACTCTTTCCCGCTAACTTACCCCCACCACCCTCCCTATTCCAGAGGGATTTGGAATCCTTCTAAACCAATCACTACTCTTGGTATTTTTTTAAATCTTTTTTGCAGAAAAAGAAACTGAAGCCCCAGAGATTAAAAGATTTGCTCAAGGTCACAGAATGAGTTTGCACCAAATCCATAGCAGTAAATTAGAGCAGTGAAGAGTGTGGACTCCGAGGTCAGACAGACCAGGCATGAATTCTCCTCATCTTACCAGCTGGACGGCCTTACTTCCCTGAGCCTCAGTTTCATTATCTATAAAATGGGGCTAGGCCGGGCACGGTGGCTCAAGCTTGTAATCCCAGCACTTTGGGAGGCCGAGGCGGGTGGATCACGAGGTCAAGAGATCGAGACCATCCTGGTCAATATGGTGAAACCCCGTCTCTACTAAAAATACAAAAAATCAGCTGGGCATGGTGGCGCGTGCCTGTAATCCCAGCTACTCAGGAGGCCGAGGCAGGAGAATTGCCTGAACCCAGGAGGCGGAGGTTGCGGTGAGCCGAGATCGCGCCATTGCACTCCAGCCTGGGTAACATGAGTGAAACTCCGCCTCAAAAAAAAAAAAAAAAATGGGGCTAATTGGAATATCTGATTCACAGGATGGTTGGAAGGATTCAGTGAGCTAATAATCAAAAGTGCTTAGTGCTGGGCCGGTAGGGTGGCTCTCGCCTGTAATTCTTGCACTTTGGGAGGCTCAGGTAGGAGGATCTCTTGAGACCAGGAGTTCAAGACCAACCTGGGAAATGTAGGGAGAACTTGACTGTATTAAAAAAAAAAAAGTGTTTAGTGCAGCATCTGAGCCCCTAATGATGAGCTGATAAATGTGGCTATGGTTGTTAACAGTTGTGACTGTAGTTGCAAAATTTGCTCTGATGGATTCTTAAGAGGCCACATCAATACAAGGCAAAGGGAGGATGTGGCACAGTGCTTCCTTTACAATGCGCTCCAAGAATAAGCTTATCAAACATTTAGGCTGTTCTCAGTCTCTCAGTATAGTGGGTGAGACTGCAGATTGTGGTGCCTACTTTCTGAGCCTGCCTCCTTCACCTGCAAAAAATGGGGTGATAATTCCTCTGTACAGAGCTGCTGTGAATGTCTAATGAGATCACGTAAGGAAGGAAGGCGTCTGGCTCAGGTAGGTGTGCAGTAAACGGTAGCCGTCATTTCTCAACAGAGGGACCGAGCCAAGCATTGGGAAAACCCACCACTGCCTGGTACAAGCAGGAGGAATCCCAAGCTTTGGAACCAGATAAACTTGGTTTTATTATTATTATTTTGAAATGGAGTCTCACTCTGTCACCCAGGCTAAAGTACAGTGGCGTGATCTCAGCTCAGTGCAGCCTCTGCCTCCCAGGTTGAAGTGATTCTCTGCTTCAGCCTCCCGAGTAGCTGGGATTACAGGTGTGAGCCACAGCACCCAGATAATTTTTTGTATTTTTAGTAGAGATGGGGTTTTGCCATGTTGGCCAGGCTGGTCTCGAACTCCTGACCTAAAATGATCTGCCCGCCTCAGCCTCCCAAAGTGCTGGGATTGCAGGTATGAGCCACCATGCCCAGCCCAAACTTGGGTTTAGCAAATGGCTCTGCCAATTTCCACCTGTGTGATCTTAGATACATCATTTCATCTCTCTGGACCTATCTGCAAAATGAGGCCAATAAATTGAACGTGCAGGCTTAGGAAGAAAGTTAAAAGCAGCAATGAATGTCAAAGGAAGGCGAGTAACAGTAGTCTACATGGTCATAGTAATACCAAGAGAAAGTGTTTATTGATCCTGACCAGTGTCATTAACCGTCCTGCATGCTTTACACGGGCTGAAGTATAAAGCGCTGCCATCGATAATGATGATGATTAAGTCTTTAACAACGACCCATCTAACCTTATTCTGCAGCACGTTAGGCCTGCAACCCTAGAAGCAGAGACCTAGGCTAAGCCCCATGTATCCAATCCCTTCCCTCTGGGCAGGCGGAGACGTGTTTGAAATAAAGTTTATTGAAGTTTCTGTCGATATTTACATATGATACACGGTAAATAACAGAGCCAGGCCCCCCACCCCACCCTGTCACCACCCCCAGTGCCCCCCTCCCCCCAGCCTCGTTAAAAATCTCTGCGTAAAGTCAGGTTAACTGCGGCGGGTCCCCTCCTCCCCCCTCCCACCCAAGATGCAAACTAAAAGCCCCCGTCCCTCCCCTGCCCCCCTCCCCCCCACCCCGGGGGCCATTCTGGTTCCGTGTACAGCACTGTGCTACCTTGCCCCTCTTTCCCTAAGAAGAGGGGGTGGGCGAGTTCCTGGTGACCACCTCTCCCCCCAAAATCTGTCCAACGGGGCGGACGGGCCCTTGAGAGGCCAGAGTTGGGGTTCTGAGGGGGGAAGAGGGACGTCAATGAGGTGGAGAGCCAGAAAATGGAAGACTTAGAGGTTTGGGGGGGCGTCGACCCCCGCTACTGCCCCTCCCTCCCTCGACGGGGCCTCGAGGGGGGAGAGGCGGGCACAGGTGTGGAGATGGCGCGGGGGTGATTCCCTCCACCCTAGGGTCCCCATTCTGGCCGCCTGGTGTGTGCCTACGGCTGGATGCACTCAGGAGCTTGGGACAAGCGGGTGGAGGAAGGAAAGGAGAGAAAGAGTTAAAGAAGGAGGAAGACGAAAAAGAAGCCAAGGATAGCTGAGAAAGCAAGAAGATCCTTTAGACAAGAGCCCCCTAAAAGGCAGGTAACCTTCAGGAAGCAGAAAAGAGCCCAGCCGGTGAGAACGAATGGGACCTCCCAGGGAAGCAGAGGAGGCGGGAAGGGAAGGGCCAGCGGCCAGGTTAACCGTACCCGTGGCTTCCAGCCCCCTTCCCCATCCCATCCCGCGGCTGTGGGTGGAGCAAGCCGGTCCTCCCGCTGCACCCGGTGACCCAGCAGGTCAGGAGGTGAGATTAGGCAGGGAAAAAAGAAGCCCGGAGCAGAAGGGAGAAGAAGATGGTCGGCATTCCCGGCGGCTGCCCGAACCTGCTTCCCAACCCAGGGCCCCTGCGGTGAGGTCGGAGGTTGGGGAGCTCCGGGGAGCTGGGCGCCTGCACAGCCGCGGGCTGCTCCCAGCGCAGAACAGGTGGAGGAGGGAGGAGTTAATTTTCTTGAAGAGGAGTCAGAAAAAAGGGGCGGGTCTTAAGGGAAAGGGGCGGGGAAATGAAGAGGGAGGAGTCACTTGCTAGTGAGAGGGACCAATGAAACGGAGAGGTCAGGAAAAAGGGGCGCGGCCATTGAAATGAGGCAGGGTGTGGGCGGAGCCACTGGGGAGAGGGCGTGGCCTAAAGCTGGCAAAGCCTCCTTCGGGTGGGAGCGAAGAGTCCCGAGGAGGGAAGGGGGGCTGCACCGCAGGGAGACCCCCGGGGAGGAGGAGGAGGAGGCAGGGGAGCTCCAAGGGGCGGACCTCAGCAGGGCGAGGTGGAGATGTGCAGGTGGTCCGGATACTTGATGGCGGGAGGGTAGTTCTGCGTCATTTGGATGGACACGTCGCTGGAGATGTCGGAGGGGCTCCGGCCGCGGCGCCACGCCTCGGGCTGCAGGAACTGGCCCGAGTAGTCGGAGCAGTCGCTGAGACGCGGGCGGTAGAAGGCCGGGTGTGGGCGGTACATCTCCTCCTCCGCGTAGCGCTTGGTGAACAGGTACACGGACATCACGCCGGCCCCCTGCGGCAAGGCAAGGTCAGAGTCCCAGGGGCGCCCCTCGCGCATCCCGGGACCCCAACTGGTCTCCACTAACTCCAGGACTCAGAGTCCCCACCCCAAGCCCCTTCCTATCCCAGGACCTAGGATCAGGGCTCCAGCCCTCTCCTTCCCCAGGACCTCAGGAGTCCAAGCCCTCAGGATAGCCCCTCCCTCAAGACCCAGGAGTCTCAGTCTCCAGACCCCTCCTCCCCAAGGATCCCAAAAGTTGGAGCTCTCAGACCCCCTCTTCCTTCAGGACCCACGGGTTAGACCCTCAGCTACCACCTCCCTCTGACGCCAGAGTCTACATCTCCAGCCTCTCTTTCTTCCTGGACTCAGGAACCAGGCCCCCAAGACCTCTCTCCATTCAGAACGCTAGAGTCTAGGTCCCACGGACGTCACCTCTTTGAGTAGGAAGGAGGAAGCGGCGAAGGCAAAAGACCACCCGTAGCGATAATGAAAATACTGCTCAGAGCTGCTGGGCCTGTTCATGACCTCGTCGTTGATGCTGGAGATGTAAAGAACCAAGCCCACCACCAAGGAGAGGCCTAGGGGGAGCAGAGGGGGTGCCCTCATCCATTAGAAGTGGGCCCCTTTTTCCAGCCCCAGCCCCACCTCACTGCCTTCCCCTCCTCCCCATTCTGTCCTGGACTACCTTCCTGGAAGCCCCTTGTGTGCTGGGCCTTGGCTGGGTGCCGGGAGCCCAGGGATGAATCAACAACAACCTCCCTCTTCCCCCTAAATCTACCATCCAGGAACTCACAATGGAATTGGAGAAGGAAAATAGAAACACTGATCAAGTCACGTATAAGGTGATACCGGCTACAAGTAGCACGGAACTCTGTGGGAGTCTGGAAGGGGCGCCAAACCCACCTGGGGCAGGGGCAAGACAAATGAAGGAAAGATTCCTTTGTTCAAGTCTTTTTCTTTTTGAGACAGAGTCTCACTCTGTGGCCCAGGCTGGAGTGCAGTGGCCCAATCTTGGCTCAGCGCAACCTCCAACCTCCCAGGTCCAAGCGATTCTCCTGCCTCAGCCTCCCAAGTAGCTGGGATTATAGGCACCCGCTACTGCGCCTGGCTAATTTTTTGTATTTTTAGTAGAGATAGGGTTTCACCATGTTGGCCAGGCTGGTCTCGAACTCCTGACCTCAGGTGATCTGCCCTCCTTGGCCTCCCAAAGTGCTGGGATTACAGGCGTGAGTCACCGTGCCCAGCCTGTTCAAGTCTTAAAGCATGAGGCCCAGGGAAGAATAACAGTACACTGGCATAGTAAACAGT